GTCAGATATTACATCAACTATAAATGACAGTATTATAGTAAATTTTTCATAGTGTAATACTTTCTTTAGTAATCCTACTTTCTATTTATACAGCGAATCTTCATATAAAATACCAAAATATTTCAACATTTTCAAGATAATTTTACTCTGTCAATCCTTCCTAGCTCAACATTTACACTTTATTCTCGCCATTGCTTTGGTTTGCAAGCTATCGACGATGGATGGGAAAGTGCCAGATACTTGCTAGATACTAAACGACTCACTGTTGTAAATTCAAATATCATTTTCAACACGTCCAATTTTTACCTGACAATCAATTCATAAAATGGCCTCGATACATTTCATTAACTTGGCCAAATTATGCCCAATTTAAATATTAATTACATTCTGCGATACACTAAATAATACTAAAATATAAATCTCTATAAGCAAAATTTAAACTATGTAAAAAATTAGAAACTACTTCTAATTTCTCCTTTAATACTTTATCTTTATATTTAGCTAGTTAAATTCTCAATAAGTAATACGTAATAATCACTAAAATCTTTTTTTTTTTAAATCAGGAAATATTACTCACTGTCCCTACTAGACCTTGGTTAATTTTAATTACTTGTTTAAATACTACTTATAACTGACCATCTCTCTTTCTTTTTATAAGCTTCGTCTTATAAGAACTACTACGTTTTAAAATAACGCTCACAGTGAGATCTATTATTCTCTGCAACGTGCAGTCTTTAAATTAATTCCCTCTTTTCAAAAAAAAAAAAAAAAAAAAAAAAAAAAAGAACTCACTACAACTAAATCGAATATTTAAATTCTACTTAACGTGTCTTTTAGTTTTATTATTTATCACGTGAATTTCTTTACTTGTAAAAGGATGCATTTAAATTGGTCGTTTCAACATTTATTTTCTGTTTTAACGATACGTTAAAAAGAAAAAAAGAAAAATAATCAAATCATTAAAAATAATCTTCACTGCAAATGAAATGTCCATTAGTCTATAAATAAATAATAATTGTTCTGAATATTTTAAGTAGTTGTTCATTGCAAACGCAGACCACAGGTATTGGCCTGCAGTGTCTACTGTACAGAAGAAACCATAGAAATATCACATGGTATCAATTGATTACTAACATTCTAGCGCGAGTAAAATTCAATAATTGCAAAATACTATGTTGCCTATGTTAAGTGACATAAAAAAAAAAAAAAAGAAAGAAATCTCAAATGTTAAACAGAAGTTAATTTGGAAAAAAAAAAGAAAAAAAAAAA